GTACCTTCTCATTAAAGTAAATCAGTTTATCTTTAAAATGAGAAGTTTATTTTATTTTAATAATATACCTTACTTAGCTAGTTTTGTAACTTATCAACAACTGAATAAGCTTAAATATAGCTAAAGTCAAGTTACTAACACTAAGCCAAATTGTAGATTAAATGGTATTAAACTATAGATAAATGTAACATTAAATCTTCTATTAACCAGTAGTTATACATTTAAATTTAACTAACATGTTTCTAGTTGCATGCACTAAATTCCCAGAAGGTATCAAATAGTAATAGAAATACTGATTTAATCTTTTAAATTATATAAACTCTCCTCTTTGCTTAGCTATCTTTAGTATTACTAGTTACCTAAAACCTAAAGGAAGGTAAAATGTCTGTCATAACTTCAGGCTTAGCTGTACCTATAGTAATGAAACCTAAAAGTGTCCAGTCCCAACTAAACTAACTGAAATACATTAAAATAATAACTCTAAATTACAGTAATTGTGAAATATGCATCTTCTCCAGAAGAATGCTATAATATACAACTAAAATTATTTCTTTGGTCATAGCTCAAATTATCTGTTCATTATTCCCCACATCTTCACTACTATCTTCCTTAAAAGAACATGTCAGTTCTGAGGTACCAATTAAAACCTATTACCCACACCTATCAACCTTGAAAACTGTGAGTGTTTAACACCTACATTATTTAAAAAAGTTGTAGTCTGGCAGTAAATAATCAACACTAAATACAAGTAGCCTTTTGACAACACTGTTAAGCCTAATGTTTGATAATTAAATATATTATACTGTTGTATCACTACCTTTTTTTCTCACTAAAATAATTAAGTTTATCTATAAAATAAGTATTTCTGTAATAATACCATTTGTGTAGCCTCTTTTATAACTTACCAGTAAGCTGAATTGCAGTAAAGTTGCATTTACTCACTAAGCCTAATCTAACATTTTTAACACACCACCAAGCCCTAATTTTGAACTTTAATCCTACTATTAACATTTGCCAATCATATTATATCAACTTTTTATTATTGATGCAAATTATTACACATAAGAATATTCATCAGATCCTTAAACAGATTGAAACAAGATATTACAAAAAACTTCAAAAGCTTAGCTTTCAAACATTTTCACTCTTTCCGATCAACACAGGTGCATGAGCTCTGCATTTCTAACTCCAGGCTTTTCCATTTGCTACTGCTAGTACTACCACTGTACTACAAAGTACATAAAAATATTCTTTTTCTTATATTCAGCCCTAATTTCTAAAATCCTCATCCAATCTGCTTTTAAACTTTCCATGTTACAACTTCTACCACACCTGAACACCCTGGAATAAAAGTAGCACAGTTTTAATTGAGCTCTTTCTGAGTTTTCCATATTCTAAGCTTGTGTCCTCTCGTTTTCCTGCATGAAAATATTTTGAAAACATCGTAGGATTTAAATAAAAGTCAAAAGATACAGCTTTTGAATGGATTGTTTATTTAACTCTTTACAACATTTTAAGTTAATATCCACAAACTTAAGTAATTTATTGAGCATTCATTTATCTGTCATTGATGTAAATCAGAAAGTGCACAGGTCTGAACATTGAGCCCTGAAGTAACATCAATCCAGTTTCACTGTTTTATGCCATCCAACTGTTTTTCTATCCAGCAACCCAACTTATCCACCATACCCATAAAAATAGTGTTTTAACAAGCTTTTTTTTGTTAAATGCTTTCTGAAAATCCAAGTACAACAAATCCACATCCTTATCCTCATTTACATAAGCAGTAACCTCTTCAAAGAATGTCAAAAGATTAGTAAGACCAGATTTTATCCTTGTGAAATGATGTTGACTATCCAATAAAATTTCAAACTTTATTCAATGGCTTTATAAAACATCTTTTATCTGACTATATAAGAATCCAAGAACAGTAAATTTATTAAACTATACTCATAAAGAAGTCAATTTTTATTTATGATCCATCTAGGTAGCATACTTTGATCAGAAGTTAATTCATTACCACATCTCTTAAGTCTTTTATATGTGTGTGTATATATATATATAATATAGATAATTTACATAAGCTAGTAACAAGACAAACAGAATTTGAAGTTCTATATATATATATATTAAGTTGAATAGATCATCAGTTCACATTACATGGTGCTGGTCAAACTGTTTGGAATATTGTGTTCAATTTTGATCAGTGTATTTAAAACGAAAAGGTTGAGAATTTGGATATTTGGTTAAAAGAAGAACTGTCAGAATAATTCCATGTTTGTAGGGTTATATGGGAATATGTTGAAATTTTAACATGTTTTTGATGGAGAAGCACTCCAGTGAACATAAGTGATTTTTTTAAACATTTTTTTGTTACATATTTAGAATCAGTAAACCTAGATGACTTTGATAAAAATATTTGTCAACACTAAGATTATATAGCCACAAGTGTAAAGTAAGGAAAACTCAACTGATATGAATTTTGTTAAGACAGCATATCTTTTCTTATTTTGTGGTTGGTATGTGTGATAATATTCCTACAGGTGTGGTAGAAGCTGTAATTTTGCAGGAATGTAAGAGGAGATTGGTTGGGCATTTTAGAGATCATGGATGGATATAAGAAAAGTGGTTTCTGTATGTAGTGTGGTTTAGGTAATTGTGGCCTATATGGGCCAAATGGCTAATTATTGCTTCTTGGAAATCAAATAAGGAATCCAAATGCAAAAATGTAAAGGTGTAATATAACGTATTACTTCTATCCAAGTATTAAAGCAAGCATTTATTAGTTGTTGGATGTAAACAAACATTTTTGCAAGTAGGTGCAAAATTTGTCTTATACACTTTTAAAGAATTGCAGTAAAGTTTATACAGCAAACAGCTAACTAGCAGCTAATGATGAATTGTTTGGCATTAGAACTAATTTTTTTTTATGTTAATTATCTGAATAATGAAAGTTCATAGAATAGTTTTTAACTCTACTAACAGTTGTGTACATATATTTCTTGTTGAAGCTAAAAGTTTCAGAACAAAAATTACTTCTTCAAACATGAATGAAAAAAATAAGAGAAACAGAGTATTACCAATGTTTACATATAATGTTAAGTTTTGTTCAGTAAAAAAAGTCTAGTTATTAGTAAGGTTAAGTAGATCAGTGTATTATACAGGATGCCTAAGAATTTTGGAAATACTTTTTAAAAATCACATTGGAAAAACTTTAACAGAGACATATGGTTTGTTGCACATGCAAGAATAATGTTTAAAGTTTTTGTACACAACAATAGAAGTTATTAACATTTTATTCCAGTGGAATGATACCTCTTCAGACTGGAGCCTTAGCATCTGTAACTCACTTGATGAAACATACCCCAGTCAATTAATGTATTAGGCAGGAGGGTTGGTTAGCTGGCTCCCATTTTCTCCAGACATTATGCCTATGAATTTCTTGTGGGCGTCATAAAGGACATGGCTTATGTCAGTAAGATTATGGGAAAGGATGAGGTGTGTCAACATTTCCAAGAAGCCTTCACAAAAGTTACTCATGTGACATTGTAAAACAGTTGGCATGAGATTGAACATGCCAACAGATTGAACATTTTATGTGTAACTCATAGTGCATATGTTGGACTATGATGATTGTATGCTGTAAAATAAAACTTTTAACATTATTTTTATATGTGCTATAAACTGTCTGTCTCTAAGCTAAATAGTTTACTTGGTATGATTTTTCAAAAATGGATCTTACAGTTTAAGTAACATTATATGTGGACAACAAGAGTTCATTTGGTCCTTCAAGGCTCCTGAGAATTAAAAAATAACCATTTAAAACCACCCTTAACAAGGCATCTGGAACCTAGATTTTGTAATTTAGTAATAATTTGAAAATGTAGGGTAACCCAAGTGGGACAGTGGTAAGTTTACATACTTACAACACTAAAATCTGGGATTCAATTCCCTGCAGTGGACACAACTAATAGCCCAGTGTGTTTTCATTCTAAAGGAAAGAAACGATGAAACAAAAATTTAGAGGCCCTAAAATATTCCTAGTTCGTTAGTTCCAATTATTCAGTAATGCATTCCACTGATATTAAAATTGGTACAAATAATTTGCTAATATAAAGTACTAACTAAGATGGAATATTAAAAATACAAAATATTCATCTTTGGAAGTTTTAAAAAATAAAGTTGAATCATTCCTCTTTCTTGAGCCAGTTGTATGTTTAAAAACCAATATAATTCCAAATTTTTAAACTGTTTCAACTTTTTTAGTTCACTTTTTTGAGGGATTTGGCATTTTATTTGATTTTCATCTTCTCTTTCTGTCATTTGATGATCTCTTTTTAAACAATACATGAATTGAATTGATGTTGCCAATTAGACATTTTGTCCTGTTTCTCTCACCAACTTAGTCATGGCTTATAAACTCTAGTTGTGGAGATTCAATGTTTTTATAGTTTCTAGGCAGTAAATAACCCGTGCAATGCGCATTTCCAAGTTTATTGAGTTTTAAAAAGCATTAGAACAATAGAAGACTATTAAAAAGACTGATACAGGAAAAAGCATTAGTTACTTGTAGCAGAAACTACTTCTTGTATTTTGTATCAGACATTCCCACTTGCACAGTCACTGATGGCAAATACAAATTAGACAGAGACAAATTTTGGTTGCTTGTGATGAACCACAGCTTTTTGTACTGTATTCTGAAGACAGAAGTTTAAAGATATGGAAGAGAAATGCTAGGCTACAGTTAAGATGCTTTTATTTTTATAATAGCAAATTAGCATTTGGAATGAGTTGCTGTTGGAAGTTGTGGGTTTTGCACCATAAAAGAGCTCAACAAGGGAATGATTTCTTAAAAAACAAAGGGTGAGCTTAAATTAGCATTTTCTCTTGTGTATGGATGTGCAGGGACTACCGAATGTCCCCTTATTGTCTGTAATGTTATTTTAATTGTATTAAAAATAAGTAAAATTTTATATTTGTTAATTGTGTTTTTTTTGTAGGTTATTAAAGGAGTTGCATTTAAATTTCGCATCATGGTGTTACAGAAATACTCGCATCATCTGGATAAGTTTACTCCATGTTGGTTTACTACAAAGCATTTGAAGGTAAGAAATGTTGTTTTTGTTTAGAAATAAAAAGAGCAAGATAAATAGATTTTGTATCAGATTTTTATAAGGGCCTCATTTCTTTACGGCAGGTGTCTGTGACTTGTTGGTGATAAATTTCAAGAATTGGACAGTACACAATCCATTTGTTTTAAAATAATATATTCAAAACAAGTTAAATGTATATACAATATTGATTATCACAGTTGTATTCAGACCTTTAAATACTTCTCTTTTTTTTTTTTTAATTACTTTGCAACACCCTTTGACAAGACAAATTATTCACCTTTACTATGTTATCACAATACAATTGGTGATAAATTCATTTATGATACCCAGTGGGTTGCCACAGTTGTATCCAGAGCTTTAAATAATTATCTTTTTCATCAAAAGTCCACACAGGCTGGTTCAGTTACTTTAGAACCCAGTTGACAAGATGAATTCTTCTTCTTTATTATGTTATTACAATATAATCTGTGACTATTACACATTAAAAGTTGCCACTATACACACTTTATGGCTAAACTTCTTGCAAACATTTAGTCTTACTTCACTTTTTTTCACTTTTACTTTAATTTACTTATCTGCACGTATTTATAACATGCAACAGAAAAATCTACAAATATCTAGTCCTGTCTGCATAATGGTCTACACAAAAAGACAAAAAACGATTAGCCAAGTGATTTGACTTTTCAGCTTTATCGTTGTAGAAAACTTACTAACTGATGTGTTTGCAATAGAAATTCTATAGAAACTAGGCCTACTCTTAAATAAAAATTAAAACTGTTTTGAAATTACCTAAAAAATGATAAAATTTTGTTTCTTATTTCTAGGTTTGGTTTACAAAAACAGATTTAAATTTACTTAAAATCCCCGAATTTAAGGCTTATTAGTAACTTCTATGCTTAAACCATGTTTATGTTCTTTCTTTGTCTATTGCAATCTTCTTTTCTTTAAAAGACATCACTGATTCACCTAAAGTAAAATATTGAGCAGTTCAGTTATGGTGATAAACCATACATAATGTTGTTATACTCTGATGTTGATGAACTGGAGTTTCTGAAACTGATTCTTAGTTTTAATCATTTTAATTAATGCAGCATAACATTGTCCTCCTTTTTGTTTTACGTTAATTTGAGAATGTACTTTTTGTGTAATTATACAGAAATATTTTTTATATCTCGCATTTTAATATGTGCCTGCTAACATGTTTTATGATAATCAACAACTTTGAAATGAAACTGCTATTCTGCTTTTTAGGGAGTGGTTTCAATAGCAGTTATGTACAATTTTTGGATGATAATTTTGAGAATGACCTTCCCAGGATTAAGAAAGCAGGTAAATGGTTTTTTTACAAAATGATCATAAATTCTTTCGTTTTGAATTTTACAGCTGGAAAGTAAACATCATTGATATTTCAATAAACAAGTGCTTACTGACATTTCAAACATTTCTTTTGTTAATGTATTTTCATAATACACTTTATAATATTGTTTTCAATTCTTCAGCAACGATCATTAACACTTCACTTCAATAACACAGAAAACCATGTTATCATATTATTGCCAGAAGATTTATTTTTAGGTGGGGAGGGGGAATCTCTTAAATCTGTCAGGTTTTGTAAGAGTGGATTCTTTACAGTAGGTGTCTGTGACTTGTTGACGATAAATATCAACAATATACAAAGAGCATACAATCCACTTGTTTTAAATATATATTCAAATATTAGAGTCAATTAAACCTCATGGTATTTTATAAGATACTAGTATTAGTCTGAAAGGACTTTAAAACATGAAATAAAAGGTCTTCATATTGATTCAGCAAGATATTCAGAACACTGGGACTTTGCTTGCCAACTTTTGTTACAGACATTCAGGATGTTGATAGAGAGCAAAGTTCTGTATTCACTAGTTGATACTGGTAGTGAACATATTTCTGTTGTTGACAGTGAAGATACTGATAATGTGTAAAGTTCCATTGAAAAAATCTGAATACTGATACTGTGCAAGTTCTAGTTTACAGTCAAGTTATGTAGTTCATGAGCATCTTGTATGCAAACCTCGCTTTGAAATTATTTAATGTTTTAATTTACATTTTCTTATTTATCCTGTTAATTTTCTAATTGTTACATTTTTATAACAAGAAATTAAAAATATACATAAAGAAATGTAGTACTTATGTTTGGCCTATTGTTTTTTGCTGTCAGCTTGCCAGTGAAACTTAATCCTTATTTTTTTTTTATAAAGATAGTACTGAAATTGCAAGGTAAAAGTAATATGTTTTTCATTAGGTGATTTTCTCTAACATGTAAACTTACCATGCTACTATCTCATGATGAAAAAACAAAAGAATTATTACTTGATATAAATATATGCAATTTTCACATGCCATACCCATTTTTTGTACACATTTCCAAACAGTGTTTGCATTTGCTGTATGCACTTTTAAGAAGGGTAGCACTTAGGCTGAGTAGTGTGCAAAGTGCTGTAGTAAACAGTCAGGATACTGGTAGTGTACAAAGTCCTGCTTTGTGAATGTTAGATTTACATGAGTTTTAACTTTAGTTATATTTGAAGTGATAGTTTATCCCAGGTTTGTTTACATAAATGTGCAAATCATTCGTTGCTTAGTTCAGTGGTGATTTTTGTATTATTGTGTCAAGTTACTAGAACCTTCTAAGTCCTTCTCGAGTATTATTACATCTTATAGTTAGTGGAAAGTTGGGCTATTTATAAGTATGCTTACAAAATTTAGTTCAAGGTAGATATAGAAAAGTTAGTAAGAGATATAGAGAAATATATCTAGACTGCGTGTTTGTGAGCTTAGCCGTAAATAGTGTATAGTGGCATTTTTTGTTTTAACTGAAATTATCACAGATTGTATTATAACAACAGAGTAGAAAAGAATAATTTGTCTTGTCAGTTGTGTTCTAAAGTAATTGAACAAACCTTTGTGAACATTTGACAAAAATAGACTATTACTTAAAGCTCTAGAGACAAATGTAGTAACCAACAATGTAATGTAAGTAACTTATCATGATTTTATTGTAATAACAGAGCAGAGAAGAATAATTTGTCTTGTCAGTTGTGTTCTAAAGTAAGTAAACCAGCCTTTGTGGATTTTGATGAGAAGAGATGACTACTTATAGCTCTGGATACAACTGTGGTGATTAATTGTGTAATGAACATTTGCATATATGTTTGACTTTTCTTTTTATATATTACTTTAAAACAAGTATTATTTTATTAATAATTTCTATGATCCTAGTAACTTTGAGTGGTATAGCATACTTTTAACTTTAGAATATGCCTGTTTGTTTTTCTTTTAAATAGCACATAATTATTTTGTTTTAGATATTTGCTTGTTTTCAAGTTTAAAGTTTTTCAAGTTTCATTTTATATGTATTTTGTATCTAACTTATTGTTTTATTGTTGTTTCAAGAGCAACTTGGCTTTAATTTTACATATCATACTAATTATGTTGCTAACAATCAAAAGTACCCATACCAAGTGACAGGAAGAGTTTAAGTTAATCTATCAATTTAAATTACTTCATGGACTTTAAAAAAGTTAATTGTTTTGCACTCTTGGTTTCACTCAGAGCCAAAGCTCTTAGATACTTATACTGCCCACTGCAGTGAATCTACATTTTTATTTTTTAAGTTACATAACATTTTGAAATGTAAATGATGGTGTAAATAATTCCTAATAGTGTAGAATATCCTGTTCTGTGCTCATCTTTACAAATGGAGCTCAGGAAACAGCCTGCCGTAAACAGGTGACAGAAGAACACTCGGACAAACACCACAGTTCACTATGTATATATATAGGATGTTTTGCTTTTTATGCATTATTCTGATCCTTATTTATGATCTACAGTTTTTTTTGTGATGATATATGTTCATAATATTAAAGGTGTTTGTGATTTGTCTATTGTCTTAACTTGTTTACTATCAAGAAAATGAAAGATTTCTTAAAATCTGACCAAGAACCAAAATTTTGTACTAACATCTTTGTCAGTTTATGTTTTGTCCAAATATTGTTCTCCTGTATTCACTATTTTGTTCACTTTTTCCTCAATTATTTTACAGTTTAAAAATGTAATAACTAAGAATGGGATTGAAATGGAAAATGTCAAAAGGCACAAGTTTCCTATGATATGTTGTTTTTTTTCTTAATTCCATTTAGCCATTATGTGATTTTTAACTTAAAGTACAGGACACCTCTTTCATATATTACTTTAAGCTGTCTTTGTACTGTACTTCTGTACAATAACTGTAGTAGTTTTAATTTCAAAACTTGTGATATATTATCATGATATGTTTTGTAATCTTCTTGGTGTGTCATTGAAAATAAATCTATAAATAAAGCAGTATGTCATTAGAATTATTTTTTGCAGTTGGTAATTTTTGATTTTAATACGGTGCTATTTCTTAGTTATGTGCATATTTGTCCTCATTTTTATTTGATATTAAATATAATGAGGGTCCCAAAATCAAACTTCATATGGGTTCATTTTTAGAATGCATTACTTTGATAGGATAGAAAAGTTGAGGATAAACATTGTTCAGGAAAACTTGGTGCATAACACTTTTCAAGCCATATGCTTAAAGGAAGATTTTAATAACTATAGTGCGATAAGGTGTTTTAGCTAAAGTGCAGAGTTCAGTAAAGAGTTTAATTTTGGAAGCTAATTTTGGGTAGTTGTTCCTGAAAGTAAAAGGTTTCTCACATGGTGGCAGCTTCAAACATTTCAAACTAAGCAGCAGTCTGTCATATGCAGTCAATTGTACGACTGTGTCCATTCTAGCTGGGATACCTTTACTTCTTGTATGACTCTCTTAAGGTAGCCAAATGCCTCGTCATCTAATTACTGACGCGCATGAAAGGATTAACGAGATTCCCAAAGTCCCTATCTACTATCTAGCAAAACCACAGCCAAGGGAATGGGCTTGGAAAAATCAGCGGGGAAAACTAAGTTTTATGCATTTTATAATAATA